CAGTTCCATGTTCTGCGCTTGCTTCTTTTGCTCACCAGACGGACATGTCTTCACTAAAGCTTTCATAACTTTCGCAATACAGCTCCAAATGAGTTGAAATCACCTCCATTGGAAAGATAACTCAATTTCGTTTCAGCTCACAAAATTTCAGATAATCCGATCAACGGAAGACCTTCAACAGAGATGATCGTTTAGCCAATTTGGACTTTTTCTGCATATTTTTGCCCATTTGATCAATTCTTCTAACTTCTTTGACTCCAACTCACTCGAATGTCTCCAAAGTACCTAAAAAGAAACAAAAAATGCACAAAATGCAAAGAAATAGATCCTAGACTCTAAAATGATCCTAAGTATGAAATGAGACTCAAAATGATGTAAAATATGCAAAATGGAAATCTAATCATATATATGAAAGGAGAATGATCCCTCTCCATCTATGCAACATGTGGCGCAAGAGTATTTACACTTGAATGGTTGTCTTTTGCACTTCTCAAACGTAAGATTTGAATAGCATTTACAATCATTTACTCTTCAGAACTTTGATTTCAATTTCACGTTCTCTTGTTGTCTATACAAATTATGATAAAATGTCAATATAAAAATTTGGCTGAAATTTTGACATGTGAAGCCTGAGAAATCCGTAGCATATCATTAATCAAGTTTTCTCAACTCTAGGTTTGTTCGATTAAAGGTAAACAAATACCTGATATATGCAAATTTAATTGTTAGTGTATGGTCCTTTGTATGAGTGTTTTTTACAGAAATTTATTGGCCGTTGTGACAAGTAAAAATGCATTAGTAAAGACAAATCATGCTTGAGAAGTGTCGCCAATGGTTTGGTGACTTAAGCTATGATGCTACGTTATGTAAATTTTGTTGGGAAAAATCATTTTCATCTCGAGCTGGTATTATCTAGAAATCTCTCTTCTAATATAACTTGATTTCTTGTTTCAGTGGTGTAAACCATTTTTAAACCTCCTGTTGAAAGAATTTTATCGTGTCATGGGTTTGTACAATAATTTTTGTGAAATGAAATAGGGAATATGAGTACTTTTGATCTACATTGATTTCAATTCAAAAGTTTTTCGGTCCAAAATAAAGATGTCATTGTTTCAATTTTGATGAACACACAAATCTCCTTACAGTTGATGTATCTTAGAAACAATAAACATATTTTATTTCTATGCTTATATCTATACAAACTCACTTGATCAACGCAACATGATTATATCTTATTTTACTTATTCCCAACCATGTTATGTGTACAAATTTTTTATGCACATTTGAATGAGATCCTATNAACACAATCANANTTTATATGGTCTTTNCTTGTAAACGGTCTTTGAAGTTGGGTTGCTTGTTCTCATTCCAATAGAATCAATTCGAACCTTTCAAGACAAGTTTATAATATGCTTATGGTCACGTAGATGTTCATACGCATAGATAATTCTTGTTTAGCCTCTTCATCACATGATTTTATGTATCTTTTGGTGATTATTACACAAAAATACTTCAACCATGGTTTTTTCTCCCGGACCTTCCATCACAAATTTACACACTACAATTTTTAGAATTTAATCGATAAACAAACCCGCGCGTATGTGCGAGTATTGGCCTAGTGACTATAAAAGCTAAAGAAAATACATGCTAAATATGCTAAAATATGAATGCATCACGACTACTTATACCAATTGCTGTGATACTCTCCATATATTTGGGTCTCAAGTTACTTATAATTTTGTATTATGACAGCGATTTTCAAAAGAACAGGGCCACTACGTTTTATTTTAGTTTCATGGAATTCTCATCCACAAAAAAACTTGCAATTTTCTTGTCTCCTCTGTTTTAAGTCTCATTTTTTGTTTCAAGTAGTTTAGGTTGGGTTGGAGACAAACTTTTGTCATGATTTGTTTATTATTTTAAAGAGGAAACCTAAATCTAAATTTTGAGATAAGTACACTATCAAAATTTGACAA